GTCACATTTTGACATGTAAAAAAAATAATCTGTATAAAAATGTGTCATCATGAGTATATAAAGTGTCCAATGACAAAATAAGAAGAGCAAGTACCTGAAAATGCATCCAACGCAAGGGGAAAAAGGAGTCGAAATTTCGAACTTTTTTTGAAATATCTCGATAAATAGTGGTTTGTTCACATTTTCATTATCAAATTCGTGTTTTTCAGACAAAAATACGTAAGTACCAAAAAAAATTTTCGAAAAAAAACCCATCGCATGCTAAATGCAGTTTTACCCACGACAGTTTTTATTAGACGACATTGCACAATACAAATCACAAGACTTACAAAATTATTAAACCTGAACAGAAGTTACTACTTTACTACAAGCAATAAGTAAGTTCGCCTCTTTTTTCCTTACAAATATTATATTTCTGCTCAAGAAATGAATCAATCAAAGTATATCTATCTACTTCTATAGAGAACGAAATTGAAACCAACTTTAAAGAACAACGAAATGATCAATTAGCTTGGCTATTACTATTTGGTAACGATTCGGAGAATGTAGTAAACTAGCGCCAGTGACAGCAAGGTTGACAGCATCAGCAGATAGATTTGCAATAATTCAAATAACCATTATTTTCGGTAAGAAGTCCTTTTTTTTCACCAATCTCGAAAAAAAAAAAAACACGCAAAAAGAGCTACAGAGCAAGTCGATCATAAAATACTTTTGCTGGAGGAATGAGGCTAACGAAATGATCTTCAAGTAGTTTTTTCGTCGACCTCTACAAAAAACACATTTTACGTTCTAATTTCCGAAAGAAAAATCGACTATTTCCGAAGGCAAGTACTGTTCGTCCGCAGGCACTAACTTTTCGTCCGCAAACACTTCTCGTCCGCTGCAAGGTTGCCAGTTCTACTGAATTTTCAGTAAATCTCCTGATTTGTATATTGATTTACTGAAACATTTTATAATCTAATGAAAAATATTCTGACACTTATTTATTATTATAATTACCTAAATTGTATTATTGATTTTTTGTTAATCACATATACACTTATAAATTGCATATGATACTTCGGCATGCTCTGTTTGAATTATTATTTTCAAATACTTAGGAAAATGTATGATTTCGAACTGAAAGATCTCACAGAGGCAGTAGACGCTGAAACTGCCACTAATCTACAAGATGGTTTGATATTCCCACTTTTGATATCAAATATTTCATTGCTATGCTTCATTTCTTCATCTCTGGAACTAGAGCTCTAGTACCTACCATCTTTTGGTGTTTCTGATGAATCAGAATCACTATATGTCTTCTAAGATAAAGTGATTAATCACTTCATCCATAATTTCAACGTGAGTAAAGAAGATAATAATGAGAATGATGAAAATAAAAACCAAAAGAAGCTCATATAGTTCAGTAAAGTTGAATATGAAAAGGGGGTCGTGCTTGCAAAAGGTCCGGTCGTTCTGAATTCTTTATATGTTGTTAGGACCTAAACCAATATTTAAAAAAACAGATTTGCAATTTCCAAACTGCTGTGCGAGCGGCGGAATACCAAAATGTTGGGTGGCTCAGTATATTTCACAATTCAATTATTTCATTATTGATTGTCTTGTCAGATTTATTAGATGACAGTATCATCATATCTTATGAGTTATTCAATAAAGTATTGAATTTAAACATATAGCAGCAGTTATAACAGTGGCGACGAGGATATTGGACAATCATCATTCATTAAGTCTCAACAAATTCAAGCTCAGAAACAGCAAGAGCAACTAATGAAAAACCAACAGGAATTTCTTCTTCAGTTCTCAAAGAGCTTTTCAGATAATCCCGGTATCAAAAGCCAGGAAATCAGTGAAGAAATTCGCATGGAGACTTTGAGCAATGGCATTTCAGAATTCCATCATGATCCGGATAACAATATTACATTCGAAAAGTGGTACAAACGATTCGAAAGTGCGTTCACAGAGGATGCTCACAAGCTTTCAGATGCAGCTAAGGTACGACTTCTTCTAATAAAACTGAATACTCAGTGTCATCAGCAGTATATCAACATAATTCTACCACAAGAATCGAAAGAAATCAATTTTGAAACTACTGTAAAAAAATTGAAATCTATGTTTGGTTCGAAGAATTCAATTTTCAACATACGCTATCACTGTATGAAGTTGCAAAAATCTATTGAAGAAGATTATATGGCCTATGCAGCGAAAGTGAACAGATTTTGTGAAGATTTCAAAATACGAGACATTAGTGCTGACGAATTCAAGTGTCTCATATTTATTTGTGGTCTTCAATCAGGTTCAGACGCTGATGTTAGAACAAAACTACTTTCAAAAGTAGATGGAAAAGACGCAGAAACATGTACTCTCCAGGATCTAACAACTGAATGTCAGCGTATATTAAATATCAAAAAAGACACAGATATGGTTGGAAACCCAAGTTCATCGAATGTGCATGCAATTTCAAGAAAGCATAAGTTCAACAACTCCAAGAAGGGTTCCCATCCTATGGTGGCTCAGTATATTTCACAATTCAATTATTTCATTATTGATTGTCTTGTCAGATTTATTAGATGACAGTATCATCATATCTTATAAGTTATTCAATAAAGTATTGAATTTAAACATATAGCAGCAGTTATAACACAAAAAACAATGAAATTTTCGAACTTTTTTCAGTTTTCGCTCAATCTCTTAGAGAAGGAACGGTTTGACCGGTATAGTCACCATTTATACTTTTGAATTAAACTAAATTTGCTATAATTTGAGGCCAAGATGAGCCCCATATAGCTATTGGTTGCCAAGATACAGTACTTTGAAAATAGCCAATTTTATCGACACGTTTCGATAAAAGGGCTTCAAAAATATCTAGCATTCTAGTAAGTGAAACCCGGCTCTGCGCTTCTTAATGACTTTACGTTGTTGACCAAAACTGAGTGGGCCAATATGTGACGGCTTACGTCATCCGAGTTAAAAATATCTGCCCCATCCCAACGTCGCGGCGCCCGCGTCTTTGGAAGGGTCATTCAGTAACAATTTTGGCTGCGACCCGTGAAAATTTGCATCGATTTGCTTTTTTTTCTGGTTCGGATAAGAGTAGAGCTTTCTTGGATTTTTAGTCTTATTTTATAAGAATATTTCGAAGTTGGTGTTTCCACAGTTCAAGTTGAAGCAACAAGTGGTCTGTTTTAACATACAGAGTGAGTATATATACATACATACATAAATATAAACTGTCAATACTTAGTACGCACGCACTTATATAATCAGTGAATATCATTCAGAAATGTATATCTTGCAATTTTTTTCTTGGAAAATAGTGAAATTAGTGAGGATAATCATTTTATCATTTCAAGAAACTGGATCGGAATTATACCCAACTATTTGTTTTACTTCAAACAGTTTTTGTAAATCTCAATTTCAATTTACGTTGATTTTGTTTGATGATCTGTTCATAGAGAATAATTTTAGTACCTCATTGAGTATTATGATGGCCAGACAGAGTGATATCAGAAGATGCTGAAAAGTTACGGAACCATGCATTACCTGTCTATAGGTTATACGTTCATATAGTTTTAATTTCGAAATTGGTCCAAAAATCACCCTCTTAAAGATTGATATGCAACCAGCAAACACCCTGTATAATTTCAGTATCTTTCAATAAAATTCGAAATGTTGAACAACACTCATTTCCCTTTTCAAGGAAATATTCAAAGTTATTTTGAAATGAAATACATATTATTGAACACTTCGATTAGATCTATAATGTATTATTTATTCTAACGTTTGTTAAAACAAACAAACAAAAAACAAACAAATTTCCCAAATATTAGATTTTTCTTAAAAAATGACGGAAAATTCAATCCTGAAAATTTTATTGAAAATGGAATATATAATTTTGTTTCCTATATTTTTCTTCGATTGATAGTTTATGGTTTGAATTATATGTATCACTTCAATATCAACATGTTCAATATTTCTCCATCAAGATTCATCAAAACATTGCTGGTAAATAGATATAGATATAGATATTGCCCATGCTCCACAAAAAGAGGTCCAAAGGATGATCCAACAAATTACAGAGGGATAGCCCTTGTTAACTGCCTAGCCAAATTATTCACGTACATTTTACTATTTAGAGTAACCAATTGGTGTGAAGAACAAAATATATTCCCGGACTGCCAATCCGGATTCAGACAGGGCAGATGCTGCATAGATAATGTCTTCATTTTGAGTTCGGTAATTCAGATCCAGATGCGTCACCGAGTCTGTCAACCACGACCTATTATGGCACAAATTATATGGATTAGGTATATTAGTGCTAAATATATCAGAATAATCAAAAATCTGATGATGACCTCACCAAACAATTTGAATTATCCTCAGGTAATTTACAAGGTGAATGTCTAAGACCCATTCTGTTCTCACTTTTTATTTCTGATATGGGGACTTTCTTCAAAGAGAAAGGGTGTACAGGTTTAAATATAGACAATGTAAGATCTTTCAATACTTCTTTATGGTGACGATTTGATTATCTTGCGCAATTATCCTATTGATTTGCAACGAAAACAACAATCTAGCTGCCTATTCAGAAGAAAACAATCTACCCCTGAACTTACCTAAATCATCGTTATCACTATTTCTGAATATGATGGCAAATTCAAAAATTAATAATAAATGATCGAGATGCGCCAGCCACTTTGTGCCAATAATATTTTCATTGCAGAATATATATAGTTTGGTCACTTACGTCACTTTTGCGGCTTTTGGTAATGGTCCATCAATGTTCATAGGAATTTTGCCGTTCTGGCCAATTCTGGCCAGAATATTATGAGTCAGCATAAGGCCGACCCAAATTGTTTGCTGGGTATACTCTGGCACCATTTATCAGTCCCCTCCGTTGACAGCGGTGAACAACCTCCCACAACAATCGGCCACCATATGCGCCAGACCTGAATCGCCCGAAAAAAGTCCACTTCTGTGTGCCTGTGCCGTCCCAACGGGCGATGGAGCGCGATGACGACGACGGCATCGGGTACGTCAGAGAGAGCCACTATTTGAAGAGCCCGAGTCTGGACCGCCAGCAGGCCATAGCGCTCCTCCAAGTGCCCAGGGGAGAGGGGAGGGAGGGCAGTATATCGTCGAGCGTCAGCGATCTGGACGTGCCGATTTACTCGTCGGAGAATTTGACCACCAGCTCGAAGAGGGAACCGCAAGGGGTGAGTCAAAGACTGAAACAATTGGATGTTATTTGCCCCCCACTAGTCATAGAATCACAGGCAAAAAATCCAATAGACGATTTTATTATCGTACCCCATGTTTTTTGGTTAAATAGCAGAATCGATTAAAAAAAATTGGACCGTCCCTGTTAGAAGACGAGGATGTCAATACTAGGTATATCAAATTGAAATTGTGTGATTATTTTGAATACTATTTATTTATCAAAAGTCAAATGATAGCTATTTATATCTTGTAGGTACATTCTACAGAATAAATTTGGCAAATAAATAAACGTTCTATTTTTCCACAAAAAATGTTCATAAACAATTTAATCGTTTCATGGGGGCCCGTCTGTTTGGCAGTGAACACGGTTCAGAACAATCACGAGTTATTTTACGTTCTATTTCACAGTTTCACTGAATATATAAATAACCAAAGGCTATATTGCGTGGGACATACCTACGATATTTCAAGCTCGTTATTGATATTGGAGAATTCATTACCCAACTTGTTCTTTACTTACACCCCTATACTATGTTCTTATTTCAAACTCGATGATGAAAAAGTTCTAATGTGCTTCGACAGTAATCAGTTTATCCATCTTTTGAGTAAAAAAATTGTCAGCATGTAGGGGTTTTCGGTCTGGAAGGAGTTTTGCAGAATTGTAAGCATATTCCAATATAGGACTAACATATAATATAACGCTACAGTCGATAGAATTCAGAATGAGGCGTCCAAAGGAGTCCAATAAATATACCTATAGCGGCATAATAGCAGGATTTATTAGCAGTTTACCTCTCCTGATACTTTGCTAGAGAGGCCCTATGTGGTTCAAACTAGCGAAGACTATTTGATGTCGCATAGAAAGAAGTTTTGGTGAGAGGATGTTCGAAATGAACGTCAAATGACGAGAACAAAGATGGAAACGCATAATTTGAGACACGCAGGCAGCATAGATCTCAGTTTTGCTCGGGATTCCAGGACTCCTATGCTCAGACTGTGGATAAATATTACACATAACCTACTTCTAATCACTAGAAAAGTGAACACTGTTGACGACCAATATTTCTTTGATCGAAATAATAATTATATTAACCTATTATTGTTAACATTCAATATTGTGGAGTTGGTATATTTAGAAAAAAATTATCGACGGCTGGATGAATAAGAACTTGAAATAAAGAGTTTTCCTTAATATATAGGTATTCACCGGCAAAAAAAACGGCCAGCAATAAAAATTGCCAAATTGATTGCCCTGTATTTTTCTCAATTCTATTCCGATTTTGGAGAAATTCCGACCAAATCGTATATTAATGTTTCGGAATGTTAACCTGAAGTTTAGTTCCCAAAAAGAGCAGATGGTTTGATCATTATACAGAGAAAAACAAAATTTACTATTCCACACTTAACTTCTCAACGCCCTCATCATGTTTTGAATTGAAATGTGATCCCTTCTCAACGCATTTGTTCTTGATTGACGTCGATATCTTACATGTGTTACAAACAAGTATGGATATTTCAAATTTGCAGTTCCTACATGAACTTATCAATTTACCAATGATATCACTTATTTTCATCCCGTTTTTTAGCACTGACCAGCAGAAAGAAACCTTAATTACTAAAAACAAATGAAAATCAGACCTATCCCTAGATGTAATCAATAACGAGAATGTTCGTTATATTGTTATCGGCAATGAAAAAAATTGCATGCTTTCTTAAAACACTTCTTTTCTTAAAAAGAATATATTGACGTGAATCAAGAACTGATGTGTTGAGAAGGGACCAAAAAGGAATCACTATAAACCACTATAATCTTTGCCACAGAGTGTTATTAAGAAGATGAGGGCAAAAGAGTAACTTTGGTTTTTCCCTCTATACCTACTGATCAAGCCATCAGTTTTTTTATGAATTAAAATTCAAGCTCATATTCCGAAACATGAATCTATGATTTGGTCGACATTTCACCATAATCGGACAAGAATTAAAAATGTAATAGGGAGATCAATTTGGCAAATTGTTTTGCTGGCCGGTTTTTTAGCCGGTGAGTATGAGCATAGATTAAACAAACTCTATGGTATTGGATATAGTCCATCCAAAGTCAGTTGGAATCTATGGTATGGCTCTAACTCTCTGTATGGACGATGAATCGATCTGTATCAGAAACGTTTCAGAAATGTCTTATGGATACCTGAAACCTCTCCACTCAAATCTCTCTGAAGTTTCAGAATCGTCCCAGAGAATGTAAATGTCCTACCTCAGTGAAGTTTCATGAAACGTTTCAACAACATCGTCCCTGACAAATTTCAAATAATGGTTTCCAACTTTGTATATATAGTTTCATCAACTTTTCAAAGGAAGTGGATAGGTATGGTGTAGAAATAAAGATACATAAAGAGTAGAAACAGACAAATTTATTAGGTACTATACAGTGTGTCCATTTAGTGCGTAATTCTTCGATATCTCTAAATCAATTATCACAAGAGAAAAATTTTAGAGAAAAAACTTCCTCAGTTACTAAAGTTGCTCATTTCATAAATATTTTCAACAATACTGGGTGTTTTATAAAAGCGGGGCAACTCGAAGACGAGTTTTTTTAAATGGAACACCCAGTATTGTTCATTCGAAATTTATTCCGCTGAGGTTCAGCTCTACATAGCTGTAAAAATAATTCAATTCGTTTGCGGCGTTGCCAAGTTATAATTGATGAACCCATTTTTACTACTATTGAAGGGTCATGTTCAATTGGGTATGGTATATTTATTGATTGAAATTTCAAAAATATTTTTGGCATACAGTAGTAGCAAGGTCTCACGTACACCAATCCAGTGATCTTGCGAGATAATCCTTTACAGGGTGCTAAAATTTACATTCTGAATATTGTAAGATTCAGACGTCGATCATGAGAATTTTTCAAATGGAACACCCTGTATTTTACATCACAGATTTATTTCGACATCATTCGCCTTTTCGTCGCTGAAGAAAAAATCAAAATCGGTTGCGGCGTTTTCAAGTTATGAGTAATTTCCTTATTTTTACTACTATATTTTGGGGTGATTTGTACGTCATGATGGTTCCTTTATTTGATTTGAGTATGGAAATATTGCTTGCCACATGACATTCGAGGTTCTACATAGATCATTCAGGTATTTTTGCGATATGTGCATCGTTTAAATTTGAAATATTCCGTAATCTTCTTACTTATGATTTAAATAATGTGTGAAACGAACAAACATGCCAAAAGAAACGCCTGTCTTTGAAACAACTTCTACAATACAAACAATGAAGATGCGGATTGCGAAAATTAGGACAATTTTTTGAAATTTTGGCCATTTTTATTGTCGTTATTCCCACAATCCAAATCTCCATTCAACTTGAAGGAGGTAAACATAATGATATGAACAATATGTCTCTACTACGCGGCTTTTGGGAGGGAATTCAGCAAAATTTCGAATCAATCCAAGATATTTTGATTGTGGCGATGTTTGACAGGTCATTACACAAATATAAATGTATTTCGAAAAAAAAAATCAAACTTGGAGAGCCTGTAAATGTTCCTATTGTGAAAGAATATATGAATGGTCAATGAACAAATTTTATTATACCGTAGCAACGCAATATTTCCACGATAAAAATAAATGAAAGAACTATGACGTACAAATAATCCCGAAATAATAGTAAACATAAGGAAATTATCCATAACTTGACAACGCCGCAACCGATTTCGATTTTTTTTTCAGCGATAAAAAGGCGAAAGATGTCGGAATGAATTTTTGAATTAAAATACAGGGTGTTCCATTTGAAAAGTTCTGATGAATGTCATCTGAATCTTGCAAAGTTCTGAATGCGAAATTGAGCACCCTGTTGAAGAACATGTCGTAAAATTATTAGATTGGTATACGTAGGACCTTGCTTCTACCGTATGCCAAAAATGTTTTTAAAATTTGAATAAATGAATATACCATGCCCAATTCAACATGATACTCTTCAATAATGGTAAAAATTGATTTATCAATTATAACTTGGCAACGCCGCAACCGATTCCAATTTCTTTCACACCGATGTGAAGGTGAACCTCGGCGGAATTCATTCCGAATAAACAATACTGGGTGTTCCTTTTAAAAAACACCCAGTAATGTTGAAAATATTTTTGAAATGAGCAACTTTAGTAACTGAAAAAGTTTTTTCTCCAAAGTTTTTCTCTATAGGTCATGGATTTCGAGATATCGAAGAATTACGCACCAAATGGACACACTGTATAATCAGTAGAGTAGGTTTAGTACTAGGGGACGGTCTCACTTGCGGACCTCTCACTTGAGGACCTTTCACTTGGGGACCTCGGCCCCGTTTGTATCATTTAAGGACCTTCGTCAAAGCCGTGAAATTTTCCATAACATGAAGTACCATTTTAGGACCTCTAGGCGAAAACCTCTCTATTCCTAGAGGCTCATATAATATACAATGTTATAATATGTTGAAAAATGTATTGAAAATGTGTGCTCCACATCTACGGAAGTAACAGAAGCGTATTTCAACTTAGAACTTGAAATTCGCCCAATTGCGTATATGCGACTTTTTTCAAAGTAATAAAACCCTTATTAAATATTATTAGTTTTTTTAATTCATCAAACATTTATACATTTTCTGTTAGATTTTTGGGAAAATCGGAAGACTTTTATTTTCAATGTCAATAAACTACCTTTAAATAATTTCGTTTACATGTGCAATAAAATTAAACATATTGGACCACACGTTGTAAAATTTCCATAGTTCGATCCAGTGAAACTTTGTTTTGTTCCTAGTCGGTAATAGTTTTTTCAATAGCTGAATCCAGATTGGAGTAGAGTTTTCTTCTTTTGTTCGGTGTCATGTTGATTTCTAGCCTGTTTCGTGTAAATACATTGTGTTTGGTGTCTTCTTGGAGGGCACTGACCAATTGGCAAACATTGGGAGTGACTCTTCCCAACCTTCTATTTAATTTGCTATGCCAAGATTACAAAGGGTTTGTCGTCCTGTGTTTTTCCTTGTAGCAATTCCAAATAGTCCCAATTGCGTCATTTTCGAGCCACCGCCCAACGAAGTAGTCATTGAGCTGCTCCAGTGCAGTGTCCACAGGTGCAGATTCCATGAT